CTTGAGGAGAGGGTACCCCAGCAGTGCTGGTTTTTAAGTGCTGGTACTTACTGTGGTCCCAGCGAATTCAGTAAGTTTTTCCAATGTTTTTACCTGGTGAAGCTCTGGGTTTGCAACCATCCAAGATACTTAGCAGAGTTTCATGTATTCTGCAAATCTAGCCCATGATCTGAGAATGTCATAAAATTTTACAAGGGCATTCATCCCAGCCTGGGGCAAGGCTGAGTTTCTTTAAATACTCACATGGTCCCAGAGTGCAGATAGTTGCTAACATGATAAATGGGCAAGATAAAAAGTTCAGAATGGATCATTACACTTGGGCCACAGACCTGTGTTATGTTTTACCTTCTAATGCTAGTTTGCCAAGCTTGTAAGCCTCTACCTGCTCTCATATCCCTACTCTTCTTTCTGCAGTTCAAGAGCCGCAAAGAGGACAGGGAGCGTGAGCGAAAAGGGTCAATTCCTTTCCACCATACTGGGAAGAAGAGGCAGCGAAGGATGGGGGTGCCCTTCCTCCTCCACGAGGACCATTTGGATGTGTCTCCCACTCGCAGCACTTTCTCCTTCGGCAGCTTCTCTGGAATCGGAGAGGACCGGCGTGGCCTTGAGAGAGGAGGATGGCAAACCACCATATTAGGTGAGATGGAGTTATCTCTGCTCCAGGTTCTGTGTCATTCCTGCCCTGAGTATTCATAGAACAGCAGATACTCTATTTCCTCATGCATCTTTTCGCCACCCTGTGTCCGTGGCTCTGCAGCATTACACACTTGTTTGGAGAAGTAGCAACTGTGCTGACAGGAGACCTTGAATGACTTAGGCTTTAGTTCACTTTTTCTCTGAAAACTGCCATCTTTATCAGAATAGTAGCTACTGTAGCAACCTGCAGTCATGGCTATAACACTTCCATGCACTTTCCCTGAATGTGTGGAACAACTGCAGCTTAAAATAGATTCAGGGAATGGTTGCCCTCTCTTTTAAATAGAACTCTCTGGAGAGGCAGCAATATATGGTCATTAGAAGAACAGCACAAAATATTCACAGTCTTCCTCAAGTGGATACAAGATAAATAGGGTATTATCTCAGATGGTGAGACTTACACTGTCTGGATAGTGCAAAGATACAGTGTTTAAATGTAAATATTGGCTCCTGCAAGCTTCCAAGTTCACTGAAGAGTGCCTAGGCATTTTTTCTGTTCCACAAACGTACTCTTAATGTCATAGGATGTCATCCTGGCACCCTTTCTGGGAGATGATAGGCAGCAAAATGTTTGCCTAAGGCCATGCCAGAGCCTTCTCATTTTCACCAGCTTGGATGGCATCATTTGGTAAACTCTCCATTGTAAACTTGTCCCTCTTTGGGACACCAGACAATGAACTTAGCCAAATGAATGATTCAAGATTCTCATCTGTTTTGTCAATAGTTAGTACACAAACACCTGCAGATTTGTACAAGAACGGCAAATTTAGTATCCAAATCCTCTTTCCGATACCTTCAGTAGCTCAAGAAGTTTGTTAAGTTTTGATCACAGGGGCTCCAGATTCTTGTCCTGACCTAACCTGCAAATTCTTCATTCTGATATTTCGGTGAAATAATGTATTTCAGATCAAATGGTCAACAAATCCTATGCTTTAGTGCTCCCCATCCTAATATCTCTCTTTTTTTTTTTAACAAGGGGGGAAGAAACAAAATTCCTGTAACTTGCCCCAAAGGGTGGAGTCTTTCAGTGCTGAGCAATCTTGTTTTCCTCAAGCTGCTGGAGGGTGACAGTGTGGCTGTCAGTTAAATCAGTATGTACTGAGGGAAAGAGCCTTTGGAGAGTTTGTACTCTTGGTCTATATGTCAATGAACCCCCACGAGATATTCCACTGTAATATTTGGTTCTGCTTCATGGAGTCCTGGAAGGCCTTGACCTTTGCTGACACCAATCCTTCAGTTTCTAACTTTGGTTCACTCTTGCCTCTGAGCACCTCTCAGATGAATAAACTAAATAGCCGGTTCTTGTCCTCAACCTAGGAAAGTTTACCAGACGGGGGAGCTCTGACACAGCAACGGAGATGGAGAGCCTGAGCGCCAGGCATTCACATTCCCATCACACGCTGGTCTCCGATCTGCCGGACCACTCGAACAGCCATGGGGAGAACACAGTCAAAGAAGGTAAATTAACACATCAGGAAGTAAACGTTTCACTGAAATATTAACTCCAAGAAGCTGAGGAAGTGTTACTGTTTCCATGTATGTGTGTTTGACTAATAGTTTTTTCTTTCTCCATTTCTTGAGGTTTTTGCTTTGCTTTGTTTTTTTATCTGTGAAGAAAAGTGTTCCAAACCTTTCCTGTTTATCTGGTGCAGTCCGTAAAAATAAATAAATTAAAAACAAATCAGTGATCAGCAGGGAGAAAGGGAAGGTTTGGGGGTTTTTTGCCTTTCCACAACACAACACAGAAGTTTGGGCAGAAACGTGGTATTGCTAATTTTAGTGGTTTCATGTAGAATCTTGTGACATTGAATGCCCCTTCACAGTCCTCAGCTTCTGGATTGTGCTCAGAATCACAGTTTTTTTCTTAACTCCCTTGGTTCCAAATAGCAGCTTTGCTTTTTAAATTTACTTGAAATCTGCCTGTGGCTCATCTATTTCAGGGCCCTCTGCAGAAATAGCAATGCCAGTGTGACCAGGATGGGAGAGCCTCTGGAGGGATGAAGTCTGCTCCAGAAGGAAGACTTTATTGGCAGGGCAACACCACCTTTGTCAAACAATGTTAGCTAAGCAGAGGAAAGCTCTCAGCAGGGCTGTCTTCACCAGAGCACTTTGCTGGCAGTGCTCCTGTTGCTTAACACAGTTAATTTGTTTTGTCTCTCACGTGTAGTGCTACTGGCCAAACCTGGTCATAGAGATTGGGCTTCACTTGTGACAACTGCAACCTTAAACCTTGATGAGGGAATGGGGATATCCCTCACCCCATGGAGCAGAGCACAGTCTCTCTGAGTGCAAGCTGTCAGGCAGCATGTGTAGGAGGCTACAGATGCACTCATGTGATACGTGCTGTAGACTTGGAGCTCTCAAAGATCCATGCTCCTTTAGCACAGCAAATCTGAATAGTCTGGGAAAGGATGGATTTGCATCAGCTCTGACCCAGTGTGAGCATGTCTCCTTTATCTCCACACTCACTTCCCTGAGTGAAGCTCTTCCCCTGAGTTTGTCTTCCCAACCTCCATTCATTCTATAGACTGTAATCCCACTCACTGCACCAGTTTCCCAGCCAAATTTATTATAAAAGGCAGCCATATGCAATGCTTACTTTTCTAGTTGCACCTTAGGTGCAATTGTGCAGCAACGATGTGAATAATAGGATAAATCATACTATTTCTAGTGATAGTCTGTGACTTTGAATGAACCGTTCTGTAGTTAGAGAGTAAGTACAAATATTAGCTATGTTTTCTGTTTTGTGTGACCAACTATATCCAAGCATACTGGTTATTAATGATTTTCCATCTGTTGTGTACTTTCCCTGGCCAGGAGACATTTGATAAAAAAACTAATTTCTTCTGGCTGACACAGCGAAAAGCAGAAATAAAAATTAGTTATGTCCTAGGTAGCTGCTCAAGAACAGTCACAGGCACATGGGCATGTGCTACAGGCATGTATGATGTAAATGAAGAGTCTTTAGTCCTCCTTCCCTGCCTCTGTGAGTCCCATCCAGCAGTCAGTCCTGTCAGTGATGATGAAATAAAGACACAACATGGGAAAAGTTACTTTATGTAGGATTTGGATATGGATTTTTGTTACCCATTTCAAAACCTTAGTGGAACAAAAATAGCTACCTGTGGATAATAATCAAACTTGGTAGCTCAGGAATAAAATTTCCTATTGGAAAAATAATTTCCTATTATTATTATATATATATATATAAAATTTCCTATTATTATTATCTTCACCATGCAAATTTCAGCCATTTTCCAGCAAGTAATCCTGTGATTACAGGCAGCTAATTTCTGCCCTGATCAATGACCCAATTGTAGCCTAATTCAAGGCACTATGCTTGGCCTTGGAACATTTCTCCTAATAAAAAGTGCGAGTTTAGTGCTGTTAGGTTTGCAAATGCCATGAGGAAATGTAGTTACCACTCAGGCAAGTTGTTATTTGCATAATATATCAGGCCATCCCCAAGTCAGTGCTGGAAGATTCTTGTTAGATACATAATATTTTGTTCATTAGAACACACTAAATAGCCTTGGTAGAGGTTCTTTGTTACTTCATAGCCCTGCTACTGTACAGTCTGGCAGACAGTGGTCCAACCAACACTGTGGGACACACAGGGTCTTTCTACACTACAGGATGTATAAACCTACTTACAAAGCACCAAGTGTGGGAAATTATTAACATTGTGGCCTGGGGTTCAGCTTGAGTTGTAAAACCACGGTGAATTCTTGGTAAAATTAGGCCTGTGTACCCAAAATGCTGTCACTACCTGAGCCAGCCAACTGAAGTTAAGCTTGGCTGTGCCATGCGGTCCCTTCTCTGAGCACTGTGAACTTAGACACCACACTGCCTTTGTCATCTATCTCCTTTGCATTTTGAAGATGGTTTAGACTGTCACAGGTACTGTAAGGAACACACTGCTCCATTTTTTTCAAGTGGTGTGATGAAATATTTCTAACTGGTATGACTTAGAAAACTGTTTCAAATTGATGCTACTATTACCCT